GCATGAACTCACAGAATAATATTCCTGGAGAAACAGAAAGGAGGAAACAGATGTTGCAAAGGAAGTAATTACAAATTCCAATTGAATAAACCCCCAAAACCGCCACTTAATTTTTAAAAGCTCTCATAGGGGTCGGCCTATCTGGCTAACAATCTGTTAGCACGCCAGGCTGCAGGGGCCGAGAACATAAAAGCCAATTTCAAAACAAACCGTATAGACTCTCTGCAATGAATGTATTCCTTGTTGTAAGCTCTGTTTTCAATAAAGGTTTGGCAGCAGAGAGGAAACTGAACGCTGTCCATCCAAAGGTCGAAGTTTTCTCACACAAATATAAAACAGATGCATTTGATTTCAACATCTCAGATCATTCACAAAATCTACACAATATAATGAAGCCCTTTATAGTAGCATGCATTAATAGTAGTGTCAGCATGGAAGTAAAACAACAATGAAACAACAATGGTGCAATTCTTTACTCACCTTTCAGTTTGCAGTTATGATTAGACTTGTTCGCCCTTAATTCTACATACAAATTCTGTAAAACACAAACGTTTGAATTAGCAGAGAGCACACATGTAGGAGAGGGAAGGCAGAGAGGAAGCCAATACGGGCTTTTCAGTCCCATGAGTGTTGAGATTGAGCTCCAGATGTGAGCAATGCTGAGCCAATCCTTGAACATCTGTGGGGTCTTTCTAAAAGACTGTCACTGACTCTTCTTCAGTTCCTTTAAAGACAATTACATTTGTATCAGATATGACAGTGATGGGATTCTTTCATTATTTTTCTGCAGAAATCAAATAAATGAGACATTGAGGCATCAGAAGGAGGTTTACTTTGGACATTTCCAGCTGGAACTCCTCCTTTAACAGCCGACATCTTGGCCTTCCCCCCCCCCATCACATGTAACTGACGTGGCGTGATGTTTCATATGGTCATTAAATGTAAAAACCATAAAGCCAGCAGAACTGTGCTTGACTAAAGGAGGTTTGAGTTGTGTTACACTAACAATTCACAGTTATAGTTTGTTGATACTAATACTTCACTCAGCATGACTACAAAGTATAAAGAAATGACTAACCGAGTGAAGGAATCCAAGTCGACAAAAAACAAAACAGGCAATTAGTTGACTAATTGCCTAAAAGCCAGATTTCCTGGAGGCAAGCGGCATAACACCATGTTCAAACATTTAAGTTACCTATAACAACCCATTATAAAACTATAAACCTTAAAAGTAATATCCATTTCAGTGAATTAAGAATCTCTGATGATTCTTTCTCGCTCCTCTCTAGAAACAAGTCAAAACAAGAGAAAGCAGCAGCAAGACTTTTCTTATCTGTCAACAGGACAATCCATCACTTATGTTGCACTGATGATCTGCAGATGAGCAACAACAAGAGTGATAAGATGGTTGCACCCTCACACTAATCTCCCTCCACACACTCCCCTCTCCTCGGACACGCTCTGCCTGCTGGGAAGCTTTGATGCTGGGTTGGATTACAAGTGAAAGACGGTGAGAGGTAGCAGAAAGGTGCCTGATGAAATTGTGTTTTTTGTTGTATGCCCTCATTGTACTTCAACCATCCAAGCATGTGTCCTGATATCACAAAGACTCAACTGTCAGATGAACAATAGCTGCCTTTGTCTCAGCGGTAATGTCTAACAGGGAGATACAAGATGATGCTCTGTTTACTACTCTCATTTTCATGACAACATGCTGCTCTGACTTGTGATACAAAAAACACTGAAACAAGCTGATTGAACTCAAATGAATAAAACAACTATTTAATCTGTTAAATAACCACAAATCTGGAGAAAAAAACATTCCCCTGTACCCATCATCAATGCTGCTATTTAGGATATTCTGCAACCAACATTAAGTTATTTTATGGTATATTTATCTTACAGTCATTTTTCATTGTTAAATACTGCTAAATATCATGCTCTGTTGTGATGTTGATGTTAGCACTTTTAATACTGCCACTTGGTCACTTTAAGTTTTTACGATGCATGATTGTTCTGTGTTGTTTTTAATTGAAGGGGTATGTAAATAAACAAATCGGGTTTCTAGGGGGAATTTGAGCCGAAATATCACCACAAAAAACAACCTTTTCATCCTTTAAAATAACATGTGCAGACTCAAGGCAATAACACATTAAGGTTGTTAACTGGGCTGAGGTGGATTCCTACCTTTAACTAAATAACAAGCAGAACAGTAGAAGTCAAAGTAAACACTTCTGGGCGTTAGTTATGACAAATATGAAGTGTAAAGATAAAAATCCTACTCATGATGTTTTCCCATGGATGTTACAATGTTTACAGAGTGTTTATGAACAGTTTGCACTGTGACTCAGCCTTACTTGTACACATGCACGCACACCCACGTACACATTTGTGATTTTTCAGGAAGTATTATGGTCAACACTGACATCGCTGGTAATTGAGAGGTTATAATTGTATTGGCTCACTACTTTATATAGTATATTGTATAAAGCTGACGGAAAACAATACATAATGTCACATAAAATAACACGTCTTTTCCGTTTCTACAGTGGTGGGGTGTGAAGCTAAATTAGGCTGGAAAATCGAATGGCAGAAAGATCTCTGCCATTAACAAGCACAGAACAAGCGACAAGCGTGTTCTGGCAAACTTGGCAGAATAAACTTTTTCCAAACTGTGAAACATACATATCAAATCTAAACATTGAAACAACACAACTTGTAAAAAGAACAACATCTCATGACTTTAGCAGTTGTACTAAAAGATCACTGAGAAGAAGTGGTTGTTTACTTTCACCACAACATCTGACAACACAGCTTCAATCAGTGTGTTTAAGGTTAATAGGAACTTATATTTGACATGTTTAATTAATAAAATAAGACCTTTTCTCTTGTCTTCAACAGTATCCAAACGTGATTGCTTCATTAATGCTAGTAGTGTAAATGTGATGCCATTTACGCAACCAAACACCCCTTTCCCACATCTTTTTCCTCTCCCCCCTCCTACAGTTTGCCCGACTGCAGAAGGAAAGCAGTACCAGATGTGGAGGTTTTTTTTCGGTCGTGCATAAAGACCTTGCTGTTTTGAGGGGGTGGCTGTGTTGCACTTCACAGACTTGCAAGTCTCTTTATAGAGATGGAGGAGGAAAGGGCGGAAGAATAAATATACGACCACCTCCCAACACCTTTTATGTCTCCTAATGTGATGTGAGCAAATACTGTTCATCCCAAAACTGGCTTAACAAGGATGAAGCTGTTGGCACTGAAATAAACCAGCATAAAGAGGCCGGGAATGCCTGTGCTTTTTTATTGCTTTTTTTTCTTAGGTATGGGAACAGACTTTTATAAATGTTATGTATAACTCTCAGGCATTTAAGAAGATGTTTCAGAGGATAAATGTGCCCTAAAATACTGTAGTAATGTGTGATTAAATATTATAAATGTAGAGAGTTTATTTGAAGTTGTTCAATAAATCAAATCCAAAGTCTGACTATTGATTCAGGAAAATAAATCTCCCAAAACTCTGTCTCATGTTCAGCAATCTTAAATCTAAGTACATTTTCCACAATGTTATCAATACAATCTGTAGCCCTTGGCTTTGTTTATCATGTGGTTAATATCATGTTGTTTCCATTCATCACTGTGCCAGCTCTAAGACTATCTCAATTTATACCAGATTATTAGTGTAATAGAAAACCAAATTAAGTAGTATGGGATCTGTTTTTGTGCAATACTCCAGTTTGGTTGTGCTTGTTTTTTATTCCAATAACATGAAGAATTTTTTTAAATCACAGAAAAGACGAAAACAAAAACAAAAAAATGTCTCCTACCTTGGTTAGTTTAGTTTTGTGGATTTGCTGGAGCTCTCTCTGACAGGTCAGCACATTGGAAGCCAAACTCCCACCTGCATAAAAAAAAGATGTAAACCCATTTTAAAAGAAGTTATGTTGTTTATTAAGTTGCTGTGTTGGTTGACTTACCTTCAGGACTCTGTCTACGTTTTGAAGCTGTCCAAACAGGAGAAAAGAACATATTAAGGGCTACAAGTCAAAAGCGCTTTAAAAAAGTCCAAAACAATTTGCGATGAAATAAAATGCCTCACCAAGTTTGGACTGGAATTTACCCATATTCCTGCGTTTTCATTGGATCAACAAAAAGTACAATCCATGAGGGGCAATATTGTTGTGTCATTTGGGAACAAACACCGGTACACTATCGCAGAAATTCATACACAGACGAGGTGAGCTTAAAAGTCGGACTGAGAAATCAAAGAGTAAAGAGGCAGAGCCAGAGGATTCACCGCTGAGCACTTCCTGTTTGGTTAAGCTCGGAGCTTGAATCACTCTCTGAAGGAAGCCTAGGCAAAAAGTGGGAGAAATCGGTTTTGTTTTTTTAGTCAAACGACTTCACTTTTATTATGCAAAATAAAAGAAGTAGGGGTAAAACTATATTTCTCTCTCTTCTTCTCTCATTTAAGGAAACGCAAAGTTTCAAAGTACTTTTTGACATGCTTGGGATGGACCCTCTTGCAATTGTAAAGCAACACCTCAGATGACAATAAACTGTTCCGTGGCATGTTGTATATTTGGAGCCATATAGGAGCTAAACTGTGTATGGATTAAAAAACAATGGTAGGATTTTAAACAGTTGTTTTACCAAGTATGAAAAGGATGCTCACTTTTCAATGAGTCATAACGTAATTCGGGTCACTCCACTGGAAATTCCAGTGCTGTATGAGGTTTATTTTATTTAGTAGCAGGCAGGTGTAAAACGCATGAATTCTACATTGAAATCTGAATTAAAAAAATCTGTATGATTATCTTATAACCCTATGAAAAGTGAAATGGATGTCTTGGCCAAGTCCCAGGATCCATCATCATTTCCTTGTTTGCAAGAAACAGACTCAACTGTAGAGCATCATCATAAAACCGAGCAGGAAAGATTATTGTTGCCAAAAACATCCCGTTTACAAGAATAAATTAAATAAAAAAGGTATAACATTGTCAAAAACAAACAAGTTTATTATTCCAATGCATAAATACAATTTTCTTGAAAATAAACACAGACAAAAAGGATGGTGGAAAAGAGCTTTTTTATAATTATTATATACAAAAGTATGTAAGCAACGTTCTTGTTATCTCGTAACACATGGTTTCCTTTGTATCAACTTACAAGTCGCCTTCAATCTGAAGTAATGGCTGTGGTTAACCATTATTTATTTTCTTATATTACATAAATGTACAAACGTCTGTTTAAAGCAACAGACTGAGTCCATGTCACAGTCGTGTTAACTGCTGCCACTGACGGACTCTTTGGCAGTGAGCGCTGCGGAGGGTCCTATGTGGGTCCAGACGTAGCCTTTTTCTGGTCTGTTGGGGATGGTGGGGAACGGGGAGCTCCGTGACTTAAAGTATTCAGAGGGGGCGTGACAAACAAAGTCCAGATACTCCATCTTTCTGGGTAGATCTTCCTCTGGACCTAATACAAAACAGACAGTTATTGAAAAGTCACACATTATGCTCATTTTCAGGTTGATACTTGTTGTATTTTGGATTTCTACTATAAAGTGTGTATGCTTTAAAGTTAGGGAAGCAAAATCTGAAAGTCTTGTTGTATCCAATGTTTTCTGACTGAGGCAGCCAACATAATTGATGGGGTTGCCTTATTTCTCAGTTTGTGGGTTTGATAGGCACTCAACATATATGTGTGTATGTGTGTGTGTGTGTGTGTGTGTGTGTGAAAACATAGGTTTATGACATCTCTTCTTTAAGAGATAATCGCCCAGATTGTGAGGAAAATAATAGTCCATGAAGTCACGATCTGTTGCTGAATGAGGCCACACAATGGGGACTAAGCTTATGACCCCCTAACAAAATATTTATATATTTGCAGTCTTACGAACTAGGAAACCTTAGCAACATTCCCGAAAAGAATTAAAATGTATTACCTTAAGTAACTGCTAATGCAAACACAACTGTACTTAAGGTAGTAGTCACAAAGTGTTTGTCTGTGATCTTGACCACTATTTATCCAAGATTATTCTAAAAAAACAAAACTAACAAGAAAATGTGTCATTTTTTTTATCCCTTAAATTTGTCTAATATATGGAAAATGTACAATTTTTATTTCTCACCAACAATGTATGTCCCAGGTTCAAACTGGTCCTTGCGGCTGGCCTGTGTGGGGATTAACCAGGTCAGTGCAGCGCTCTTTTCACAGTACTGGTCTTGCACAAAGCCACGAATCTGAGCATAGTACGGCTTCCCGTCTTCCTCATCCGTTACCTTGATCACATCTCCTGTCTGGTAGTAAACACCCTGTGGATACAAATATATCAAAATAGATATTAACAATGACAATGACCCAGTTTGGTCTCATATGTGTCACAGGCTAAAGGTTTAGTTCTACTATTACTATGATCTTTTTTGATATTAAGCAGAAACCACTGTACCTTATAAAATACTGATTCTGACGTGATGATTGTAGCAACTGATTCTGGTGCTTTGATTGGCTGAGGAAAAGGAACACACAGGGTCAAAAACAGAAATTCTAAGGAACGCACAAAATCTACAGAAATAACTGCATTCGCTGATGAAATCTTACTCTTACATTTTTGAGTTTGAATATGTGTCTTCTTCCCTTTCCTTTAGTTGACACCTTCTTCTCAGAGGCAGGAGCTTTGTACTTGGTGCTTCTCAGCCGTGCCGACCTCCTGTGGATCTCCTGCTTGGACTAAAAGCAACACAAAAGATTAAGCAAGCAGCCTCCATTCACTGTTTATCTATAACAAATTACTAATGATTATTGAGTAATTGATTGGTAACTGTGTCTAATACATATTAATTAAAACATCCAATTTAAAGATTATACAAAACAAAGAGGGGCAGAACCTTTTGACTTTCCCAAAAATGAAACAAGCTTATGTTAAGTGTTTTCCCTATACATCACAGTCTGTTATGCTGCTGTTCCCGTTTGTGCCTGTTGTGTTTTTCCTTTTAAAACATTTTATTTAGTCTTCTGGCATGGGGACATTCAGTTTGTTGCCTAATACATTTTAGGGTAAAAAAACAAAACAAGACTAAATATAAAAATTATGTCAAGTATTCGGTCTCTCACAACAAGTTGAGTAAGTATAAAATAGATAAAGAAATCCTATGGAAGACATCTAAATAACACAAATACATCCTGACTGTACTTACTGTAAACGTTGTGTCTTAAGTGAATTGAAAATGTCAACAACGTTGTCCCTAACAGATTTAAAATGTTGTAGCAGGGTTTGGTTCTCCCTGAAAATACCTACAACATACAAGCTGAAAACAAGATAAACATTGAAGGTGAAAGGCCCCTTTACAGACAGTAACTAACCTGCTTTCCCCCGCCATTGCTGGGCAGAGTGTTGGAGGACATGGAGGGTCCGGTGGCCCCGCCGCTGCTGCTCTTTCCTGTGCAGTTGTTACAGAGGATCTCCCCCTGGTTTCCTTTCTTCCACATGGACGAAGAGTTTGTCTTGCAGACAGCACAACACGGTTTCAAACCCAGTGGCATCGTTAATGGTCAGGATACGTAGAGGATAAGGCAGAAATGTTTCCTCAACAATGAGATGATGGCTGCTCGCTGCACCAACAACACAGGGATGTGCAGCTTCAAATGGCTCCAAAAGAGATGACGATGTTCGCTTTCTTCTACAGATAGACCTCCGAGGACAAGCTTTACTACTTGATTTAAAGGTATTATCACGACAGTATCAATTTCAAGCTGTATTGTTTATTTTTGCAGCCAAAATACCGCCATTGCTAGCGCCACTGTTTCTTCTTCTGCCTCTTTTGACATCGACTCTTCTTCTGTGGTTTGAGAGGCCACCTAGCGCCACCAATGGACCGGAGGGATCTGTGCATTTGTTGGAGAAATATCAATTATACCTATTAAAAAAGGCAAAGGCATTAAAACATGTTAGATTTGTACTGTTATGGTTTGATGTACTTCAAATGTGCACTACAGCGCTAGTTCTTATGTTTGGGAATATTCCTTGTGGTAATTTGTTTAACTTTCTGCAAAAGATATTCCACGGGATGTATTATTTTCAAGGTGTATCATGTGCTTTTAACTGTAAAACCTTGATCTAAAGCAGTAAAACACATTATTTCCCCTGACATATTTTTTTAAACTTTATAATTTAATTTGTTTCTTTTGTTTTTGTATAATGTATGTTATAACTGTTATTTTACTATTGTATTTTTCTTTTTTTTTGTGAGATGGGAATGTCATCTCCCCTACATTGTTGTTGTATCCTTTATTTGTGTCTCCTGCCTGTACTAAATACATTATAAATAATCAAATACAAGTCCAACCATCTCAATATTGTGTTCGTATACAGTGATTAAGTACATGTGCTTCGTTACTTTTTACCACTGATTGTAATGAATGAATGCAATTATTCAACGCACAAACACAAACCATTTTGAACCAAAAATATGTTTTTCCTCTCAAGTGACCCCTTTACGTGTCGGCCACCGTACTTTGGCAGCAGGTGGCAGTACTCCAGTAAAACTGCCGCCAACAGCAAAGTAAAACTGAAGAAGAAGAAACTCGTCACTGTTCAAAACAAAAAGTTCCGCCTGTCGGTCTGGCACCGTGTTTTCATGAAGATGTCTCAAAATACTCCCGACAAAGACGATGACCAAACGTCAACCAACAAAAAATCCCTCTCCCTCCCGACCTCCAGGGTGAGGCTGATAATGAAGAGCTCCCCGGATGTCTCCTGCATCAACCACGACGCGCTGTTTCTCACCACCAAGGCTACAGTAAGCCGCAGTTAGAGGCTACATCCTCGCTTCACTGAGCACTGCTAACCTACCATTCATTGCTGCTAACAGGGATTAGCCCGCTGCTGCTAGCTACCCTGATAACTGTAAACAGTGGTGTCAAGTGACGAAGTACATTTACTCAAATACTGTACTTAATACCTTTACTTTGCAGATTTGGATTAATGATGTGAACAACACTTAAAATACTTAAGTTACACCTGGTAACATTCACTAGCGACCCTACAAAGTGATTAAAACTAGCTGCACCAGCACCTATACCAGCTTTGATTAACATATTAATGCTTCCCAAATTATTCTCAAAACATACACTCTATTTTTCTGACAAGGGCCAATTTACATAATGTGTACTTTTACTTGAGTTCTTCAAGTATATGTTGATCCTTATACTTTTGTACTTTTATTCGAGTAACATTTGACTCTACCAGGGTGGGTATTGCTACACCCTGGTAGTTTTACTCTTTGTACTACAAGATCGGAGTACTTCTTCCACCTCTGACTGTAACCTGCAGTTTCCATTCGTGCTCCACTTATTGTGACTTGTGTGTTTTTGCAGGAGCTGTTTGTGCAGCACCTAGCTGTGTCTTCATATACCAACGGAGCAGGGAAAGAGACCAAATCTCTGTCATACAGCGACCTGGCTAACACCACAGAGGAGAACGACACTTTCCAGTTTCTCACAGGTGAGACACAGTCACAGCCTGACATGCAGGGACTTTCTGTATCATATAATGTTGGACACTACTTACCCTTTACCTCTGAAACATTGGTGGAATAACCTGTAACCTCCCAGAACGTATGCAACAGTTTATTAGGTATATGTCTATAATGAGCCTATTGCCTAGATCAGGGCTCTCCAACACGTCGATCGGGGCAGCTTTTCAGTAGCTCGCCGCTCGATTATCGATTATAGCGTAGTCCATCCATCCATCCATCTTCTCCCGCTTATCCGTGGTCGGGTCGCGGGGGTAGCAGTTCCAGCAGAGAGCCCCAAACTTTCTTTTCCCTGGTGACATCAACCAGCTCTGACTGGGGGATCCCAAGGCGCTCCCAGGCCAGCGAAGAGATATAATCCCTCCACCTGGTCCTAGGTCTACCCCTTGGTCTCTTCCCAGCTGGACGTGCCTGGAACACCTTCCTAGGGAGGCGCCCAGGTGGCATCCTAACTAGGTGCCCGAACCACCTTAGCGTTGTAAGGTTGCTTATTGATTTTTCGGCCGCGGCTGGACAATAACGTTTTTTTATTTTAGAATTGTTTCCCTTCCAACACACGCGCACATGACCAATGAGGGCACGAGACAAGTTTGTGCACAGATGGAAGGCTGACAGGCAGGTAGGCCATACAATCATTTTAGCCGGGCCAGCTAAAATGATTGGTCGTGCTTTTTACAGTACTACAGCTTCCACAGATGAATTTTTTTATGGATTTTTTGTCAAAGCACTTAAGATATTCATTGCTATCTGGATGTTAAGAGCATTCCATGGAATATAACAAAAAGTGTATCTCGAGCCGTTTTCTCAAACTTACCTACCCCACCTTTAAGTCATGTGTGTGATGCCACATTCAAGACATTCAGTGTCTTTTTTTTTAACAGAAGACTGTAGCTAGAAGCTGCAGCTAGACTGCAGAAGTATTAGTTTTTAGTTTTTGAGGATGGAACAATTTCACACACAGATATAGGGAGGCTAGACCTATACAATTGATTTATTATGGTTTATAATTTAATGTCAAGACGAAGAAGAAGAAGAAGAAAAAGATGGCTGAACAACTGTTCAGTGTCAATCCTGTGGAGATCTCCAAAATAATGTTCAGTTTAAGTCTCAGCAAAACTCAAAATTCCTGGAGCTTTGTAGACCCAGAAAAATACAAGAGCATGCACCAAGCAGCACTGAAAATGTCTGCTTTATTTGGTTCTGTTCTACATACCTTTGTGAAGCAGCTTTTTCTGACATGAATGAAATCTAAATACAGAACAAGACAGACTGATGAACATTTAAATGACTCTATTAGAGTGAACCTATGTGGGTACACTCCGGCATACACCTCTATGGTGGACTCCATGCAGCGCCATTCATCTCACTAACTGTACAAAATAGTGAAATGCTTGTAAGGTGGTGATTAAGGACATTTATGTGAATGTTCAGTGATGTACTTACTATGTGGGCCATAATAATATGTGAGACATTTTCGTTTTCTTGGACCTTGATGTGAAGTAAAGATTTTTGATAAGCTTTAGGTATTGCAATTTCACATGTGTACAAAAGTATAGCTTAAAGGGAACCTATCATGCAAAATGCACTTTTGTACGTCTTTTATAAATGAATATGTGTCCCCGGTGTGTCAGGGAACTCACCAAGTGTCAGAAAACACAACCCTCTCTCTTTTCCTCCATACCCAAATCTCTAAAAACGGGGCTGCAACGGAGCTGATTATTATTTGTATTTTTCTGACGTCAGAAAAGGGGTGCTCCGCCTATATGGGCAACTCTCCACCTATCAGGGGAATGAGAGACCGCTCGAAAGAGCTGGAGACACTGTAGTACATATGCCAGGCCTGTAAGTGGCGCTGTAGTCTCCCACAAAAGCAGAATCAGCCCCTGCAAAAACAGGGCTGGAAAAGAGCAAATAGAGTGAAATGAGGCATGGCTAAAATGCATGATCTGTTTGGTATTTTGAGAAAAAAAACTTCAGACGTGTTTATATAGGTATGGCGGCGGCCCTACAATATATGTTTCAAATATAGCATGATAGGTCCATTTTAATTCAACTGATGAGGGCTATGTGAATAACTGTAAGCGATGTGATGCAAGTAGCTCTTGGCCACCTTCATTTTTTCAAAGTAGCTCTCTGATGAAGAAAGGTTGGAGACCCCTGGCCTAGATTGATCAGTAATGGAATTTGTGGCAAGCCTTATTGATTTTCTGCAGCAGTTTTTATAGCTGTTTTTTGTAACGCCACATTATACTTATGACAATAATCTATCAGCAATTAAGATGCTGAAAAACACGTTTGGCTCCATGCATTGTAACGGTCAGCAGAGTACAGTGGATACATGGTGACTGGCTGTGACACCAAGTTTGACATAAGTGTAATATTTTTCTTTTACAGATATCCTACCAAAGAAGATCTTGGCTGGAGATTACCTCAAATCTTTGGCGCAATTGCAAGAAGATGACGACAACGCTGACTTTTAAAAGGAACACTGGCTGCATTTCACGTCTGGACAAATGTTATCAAATGTGCACATCCTGTCATTTATTGAGGGCACTGCAATGCTTTTAAAATACATTGACAGAGTTAAGCTGTAGGGCTCAAGAAAGACGTTAGAGCACATGGGACTGAAAGTACAGCCACTAAGGGCAAATGTGAAATCAAGTGAAGACTCAAGAGTTCACGTTCATATACTAGAACACAGAGGAACACTGGAGCTTTACTGTCTAAGATAAATACTTGATGCCATAAATCTAGAATTTAACAATGGCCAAAACAAAGCATAATGCAATCAGTACTCAAGATTTTGAACATTTCATTATTTCAGAACAATTTTCTTGAAGGTTTTCTGGTAGCAATGTCTTACACATTTAGTGCTTGTTTTGCATGTATAACATTTAGGAGGAGGGAAGTGATATACAAGATAACAACTTGCAGGCCTGTATGGGCTCACTCCATGCAACAGACCAACACATATTGGAAATCCATTCCACACAGCTGGTGCACAGATGTCTCCATTTTAAGATGCCATCAAACATTGATTTCAAACAAGTGAAATATGCTGATGTTCCTGATTCAAAGTTATACATAGTTTTTTTTTTTTAAATATATTGTCCATGTATTAGTAACGGGTAGTTTATCATAAATACTTGAAAGTAAAAAATACACATGCCGCTTTTCTTTTCTTCACACTATATATGTGAATATTTAAAGTGTATATAACACATTCTCCTCATTTATTTGCTAAGGAATTGTTTAGATTTGAGATTAAAATAAAGATTCAGGCCATCTGATAATTGATGTCGCATTGCATGTATTACTATTTACACCACAAACTTGTAGGGTATGAAAATGCTTTTATTAATGTTGAATGAGGATTTAAACAGGTCTGTAACAAGGTGCTCAAGAGACTAACCGTTTTACTAGACGCTAGCAAGACCATGAAATCTCCTCGTGGAAACTGGAATACAACAAACTATTTAACAGCTACATGTTCCTCATATCTGATGGTGTGAGGTTTAGTCTCCTTTATACCGATTTTACCTTTAAGTGTATTAATGACATAAGGTGCATATTTGGTCCACATACAGTCTAAAATGATCCTGGGGATGCATGCATTTTCTACATTGTTAAACAATACATGAACACATAAATAGAGGCAACCAATCCTTGTCAGTGTTGGATGAGCTTGTTCAGTCGAAACTGCATGTTAAGCAGAGTGTTCTCTAAAGTAGAAAAGTGATTCTCCAGGATGTTTGCTGTGTGCTCTCTCCCATGTATAGCGTCCCTTGTGTTGGCAAGATGCTCCTTCATGCTGCAAGAGATGACAAACCACAAGTAAATGTCTAGGACATTTTGACACATATTCACACCGTTTTGCATTAATTTTATCCCACCAATATCAGAGCTCGTCAAGTAATCAGTTTGTTCTCTCTCATTTAATAGAGAGAAGGCACTGAATTCTTCACAGCCGTTTTAGTGCCAGAGTGTTGTCTCAGCCAGATGTCCCAACAGATGACTAGGAAAACACTAGAAACGTCTCAGCTGCTTGTCTGGATGCTGTTTCCACTTTCTTTGGCATTCAAGCACTTATTTATGCTAAACAACTAACAAGGATCCAGGGTTCCTGACTGCCTCGCTAACAATGATTTATGAATAATCCCGCAGCTGGCATTGCATGAGTATCTTCCAAACATGTTATCAATTTGTCTATGCACAGTGGCGATTGTAGCTCTGTTTGGATGGACTATGTCTAATGTTTGTATTTAAATATAAATATGCAATAGCAGAACGCCAGACCACCCACAGTAAGAAATCAGGGGGTATTTAGTCAGATAATCCCCATCTCTTCAACCTCCTCACCCAAATACTTTCAGGGGTTTTCCAAAGTCTGAGACCGCAGGCTACCCTCAGACAAGGCTTGGAAAAAGACAACCCCAATAATTGAGACAAGATACCTTTATATTGCTGTTTGACAACTTCAGCCTGCAACAAATACATGAAAAGGGTCTCGAGGTTTAGGTCTCAGGCATTTATTCGTTTCTGATTCTGAGAAAACAGCACCAAAAACAACTAACATGAAACATAACTCTTCAAACTAATCACATACATTTCGGCTCATATGTGATCTTCGCTAATAAGATCTTTTTTTCAATTAGCCTCCCCTTAATCTGTTTATACCTCCCCTGTCATTTAAGACATATCTACCATATTAATCCATCAAATGAATGTCTATTTCTCACCTTGTGAGGACCCCCTGCTCCTTCCCCTCCTTCCTGGTCTCCTGCAGAGAGACAAACACCTTATCCATGGTCTGCATGGTTTCTACAGCACTCAGGTGGTCCGAGTTGATCCCCTGGACCTCCTCTCTGGCTTGGTGTTCGTAGGAGATCCCTCCCTCCTCCAACCCGCTGGTGGTGGCCACAGCCTGCAGGGCGGCCCTGTTCTGCAGAACAAGCAGACGTGACTTGGCAAACTCCTTTGGCCCGACGATGTTCTCCCAGCAGATTGCAGAGGATGGTGGTAATAAGAAGCGCTGGGTGCAGTTCACTGGTTTTCCTGGGGTCTCTGTTATGAAGGGGCTATCAGCAGGGAAGCTGTGGAGTAGGTGCAGAAGAGATGATCCAGAGCCCCACTCCAAATCATCAAGATCTGGTTGGCCAGAGGACTCTTCAGGGGAGAAAGTTGGAAGAGGCCCAGCTGCCCCTGCACCCTCTGCTGGGAAACAGACCCCCAACAGGAGGGAGCAGGACAAGCAAAGCACAGCCCCCTGCAGCATCTCCAGACTGACTGAAACACACACACACACACACACACACACAGCACACACACACACACACACACACACACACACACACACACACACACACACACACACACACACACACACACACACACACACACACTATGTATACATCACTTCAGGGGACATTACATTGACTTACATGCATTTCCTGGAGACTTATCCTAACCTTAACCATAACCAACACATGCCTAACCCTTAACCTAACCCATCCCTTACCCTAACCCTAATCAAGTCTTCACCCTAAAATTAATTATTCCCCTCATGGGGACCTCCAATTTGTCCCCATAAGGGAGGCGAGTCCCCACACATGACTGTGCAAACAGATTTAGGTCCTCACAAGTATAGTAATGCTAGGCCACACACACACACACACACACACACACACACACACACACACACACACACACACACACACACACACACACACACACACACACCACACACACACACACACACACACACACACTTGGAAAGGCCATCATGACAGAAGCTTTTTTCAATGATCTGAATCTATCAAATGAAAGTAAATGCACAATCCTATTCAACTTCAAGACAGACATGTTAGCGTGTTATTACGACATCTGATAAGATTAAAAGTTAGACTTCTCCCTGGTATGAAACAACCCAGTCTCATAAAAAAACGTGTAATAACTACGTTGGTCCACAACGTAGGACGTAGTATTTCGACAAAAATGCCTCTGAAATTGTAAAATACCTAGCCTACGTTTTTTTTCACCATTCGTTCCAATGACTGGCGTCTATGTCACGTGATCTTCAAATTTCTCCCTGCAGAAAAAAAAAACATGGCCGAACTTCGTTTTATTCTCGGTGTAAAAGGCCTATTTTAAAGTTAGTTTGGCCATTAAAATGCCTTTTGATGTCATTTGATGCGAGAAATATGAGTTGTTATTTCAGAGTATGTGTGCAGTGGAATGCACATGATCTTTAGTTTGCTAGTTATTACGAAGATTACTTCAGGAAATTGTGTCTATACAACGTTTTCATTGTCACCAAGGTGGTTGCTAGGGATGCTGCTATCGATATTATTTCTGTTATGTTGTGTAACTGTTTAATGGTGTTATATTTATTGCTACCCCCTTCCCCGTCAATGTATAGTGTTGGTCCACAGCGCAAACGTATTAGTTTAACAAAATCCGCATCTAAAATTGTGGCATAGATAGCCTACGTTATGTTCCCCTGTGCAATTCTCCATTTACTCAACAATAACACATAATTATCCTTGTGTTTATTTACTTATTTGTTTGATTAATAAACACAAGTTGGAGTCCGTCAGGACCATAGATAGGACCGAGGGTCGGAGCAGCTCATTTGCTTTACAGAATATTCAACCCAGTCTCACGGCATTTCGTGTTCACCAACACGATTTTTAATCTATTGATTCGTGTTCACCAACACGATTTGCCCCTTTTTTTCGTGTTGCACAGCACGATTTTAAAAGCAATGTATTTCTACTGCCTGCAGCACGTCTTTTTCTCCGGTCGGGTCGAGGAAGACCGGAAGCTGTGTGGTTCATAAAAACATGTTCTTACTCAATATCAAGCCACAGTTATTGCTTTTATTTGAAATCGTATAATTTCGGACTTTTGTTGCCGTCTGTGAGGAATATAAATGGGGTCAGAGCCTCAGGATACTGAAATCTGTATTTTTTAAATCTTTTTTTCCTTCTAATTTGTTATTCTTTTCAAAATAACACACTGTTATTTACTCAACAATAACACACAATTATCCTTGCTTTTATTTATTGGTTTAATTCCATAATCTCGGGCTTTTTTGGCGTCCGTCAGGAACTGAATTTCAAAATAAAAATAACCGGAAACAGACGTAGGCATTTCGAGAGCGATTACCCAAGATCCTCAGCTATGGTTTTAAACTCGCTTATTGGATGTTTTAGCCGCAATGCATGCTGGGATTTGGTGTTTATATGATATGAAATCCGGAAAACATTTTTAAAAGAATAAAATAATACTTAATTCCGAGCGCTCTTGCTTTTCTCTTTGAAAGTCATCACATAACGGCATTGCAATACACGGTTCGGCTGCATTGTATATTACAGATCTGCCGTAGTTCTTTATTTATAGAGCCCTGATGAGAAGACCTTTGGAAAAACTGAGAAAATGCAGCCGAAACTGAATACTTGACGTGGATCATAAATAAAAGCAATAACTGTGGCTTGATATTGAGTAAGAACCTTTATATATACAGTCTATGGTAAGAACATGTTTTTATGAACCACACAGCTTCCGGTCTTCCTCGACCCGACCGGAGAAAAAGACGTGCTGCAGGCAGTAGAAATACATTGCTTTTAAAATCGTGCTGTGCAACACGAAAAAAAGGGGCAAATCGTGTTGGTGAACACGAATCAATAGATTATAAATCGTGTTGGTGAACACGAAATGCCGTGAGACTGGGTTGGAATATTACACCCGGAAGTAAGTATTCTCTCCGCTTCGCTTGACAAACCCCGTGATAGTCCTCAAGCTCTGTGATTGGAGAGTGTGCCGAGCATCCAAAACTGGATTTGAACGGGTCCACCCCGTCCCCCCCTCCCCCACCCCGTCCCCAGAACTACACATGCTGGCTATTGAGTTTCGCAACATGTTCTCTATCTATGGCACGTCTCTACTGGGAGTGTAGTTTTAAAAGACGTTTTCGTATTTCCCATCATAAGAAGTGGCCAGTATTAAACTGTGTACATCCCTGGAGGTTTAGGGGATAGGAAACACTCAAATGTAAAACATATAATTAATAAATGGGTGAAAATTGCTTGTGCCCATAATGGGTAGCATTACCCACATGCCAGCTAAGGTCAGAAGAGCTTTATTTAACAGCTGGTCTTATGTCTGTGACCCCTCCTGTTGTTAATTGATAAGCCTGAAACATGCACTTGTCAAAGTTCAGAGGCACATTTTGCAAATATGGCAGTAGCCATCGATCATCTTAAGATAAGATATACTTTATTGATCCCAAGTTGGAAACATTTGCGTTACATCAGCATGTGTAACAGTTGTAAATATGCAGTGGTGTTTATTTGTAAATCATTTATTATAATCACAAACATTTTGTGTTTTATATTTAATAATTCTATGTTCTTTATTTATTGATTGTTCAATACCTGACAAGGCCGGAGATGAAAAACTTTGGTCGCAGGTTCCTCAACAGTGTATTACAAGACATCTATCAATATGTGTGTACCTCCACCATTAAACTGTCGTATTCTGCACATTTATTATACTATCTACATACATCTTATATAAGAGTATAATACATATGTATAATATCAGTTAAAATAAGTGCTTCAACATAGTTAACATTGCTGGAGGTATACACAAAGTTTTTCATTCATTGCATAACTACACCGTTTGTGTATGATATGTCAATAAACCTTAGAAAATCTTGAAATCTTGAAAGGGATGTGCAAAATAGTCATTATATACAGTCTTTAATTAACTATTAGTAGAGAATAACGAGTAATGAATATACTTTATAGGGATCCTATTAATATCTAATAATAAAAATAATGAAATTCAATAACATGCTTTAACCACTAGGTGTCCCTTTATATCAGCTGTGCACCTTTATGGTGTAAATACAGCCTATCTACCAATTGGATCAAATATAAAAGTCAGCCGAATTAGTGTTGATACTGCAAGGAGACGTATTATGTGAAAATAAATGTAAGATGTTGTTTAATGGCTGATATATTTATGATCCATGTCACGTTTTCAGTGTTGGCGGCAGTTCCTCATGTTTGTCTAGAAGTCTTCTCATCAGGGCTCTATAAATAGAGAACTACGGCAGATATGTAATATTTAATGCAGCCGAACCGTGTATTACAATGCCGTTATGTGATGACTTTCAAAGAGAAAAGCAAGCACACTCGGAATAAAGTGTTTTCGGTCTGTTTCCGGTATTTGTTTATGACGATGTGATGTGAGATGTGAGACTGGAATTGCACAGGGGAAAATAACGTATATGCCACAATTTTAAATGCGGATTTTGTTAAACTAATACGTTTGCTCTGTGGACCAACACTATACATTGACGGGGAAGGGGGTAGTAATAAAGATTACACCATTAAACCAGGGTTGCCAACTCTCACGCATCTGGCGTGTGACACACGCTTTCACACTCAATCTCACGCTCTCACGCTGTCCAAACTATTCTCACGCCAAAAACAAGATGAACCGGCGATCGTTTTTGGTTGGTTATTTACAATGTTGAGTTGACAGCTGCTCAAGCTGTCGATCCGCTCCCTCCCCGCCCCCACCACTCTTAACAACGTTAACAGACAGCAGAGCAGTGGGAGCCGGTTGGTCAATCCCCGACCCGTATTGCGCATGCGCAGATCTAAGATCCAGTAGAAATGATAAAAAGTAAAAGTCTGCTATTTATTGTTCTACTAGACCAAAATAGAGTCAAAGAGTATATGAGAGTGAGACTGTGTTAATTAATATATTTGGACAATATATAATGGAAACAAACGTGTTTGACTTTCATTAGTGAATGAAACTGTGTGCCCTTTATAGTCTGTGTCCAATATTGTGTATTTGTATATATTGTATATGTATCCTAGGCTATATATATGCTAAGGTCCCGCTGCTGACACGATAGCAGTCATTTAGTGCACATATGTGTAATTAAACCCATGATATCAAAATCTCACTCCAGCCAGGTACCCAAAGTTGGCAACCCTGCATTAAACTGTTACACAACATAACAGAAATAATATCGATAGCAGCGTCCCTACCAACCGCCTTGGTAACAATGAAAACGTTGTATCGACACAATTTCCTGAATTAATCTTCGTAATAACTAGCAAACTAAAGATCATGTACATCCACTGCACACATAATCTGAAATAACAACTCATATTTCTCGCATCAAATGACATCAAAAGGCATTTTAATGGCCAAACTAACTTTAAAATAGGCATTTTACACCGAGAATAAAACGGAGTTCGGCCATGTTTTTTTTTTTCTGCAGGGAGAAATGTGAAGATCACGTGACATAGACGCCAGCCATTGGAACGAATGGTGAAAAAAAACGTAGGGATCTTACAATTTCAGAGGCGTTTTTAAGGAAATACTACGTCCTACGTTGTGGACCAACGTAGTTATTACACGTTTTTTTTACGAGACTGGGTTGTATGAAACTGTGTCAATGCAATGCATGCACAATGCGATTCAACCTTCAAAATAAAAGGTGTTACGTTTTAATTAAAGAAAAGAAGGTTCATTGGAGCTACCACCACACATTCATCCACCAACAAGATAGATGTTCGGTACAGTTTTTGTATCAACCTCCAAAAGGCTGCAGCATAAATAAAGGCTTTTTTTAAGTTTGAAAATTATATCCGGAAATCTTACTCTCATTTTGGAAACTTCATGCATCGCCATTAGTACAAAAGTTAAAAAGGCAAAGAAAAAAGATTCAAAGATAATCCACAAATTGTTGACTGCATCCAGCACCTTTTACTCATACACATCAACATCTCTACATCGATTCAACTCATGACTAGTGTGTGTAACATGTCTTACCTTGCAAAGAAACCCCAGCGAAGAAGCAGTCTGTGGAGGGCTGCGACTCTCGTTCGGTGACTGAAGTCGTAGGAAAAAATGAGTCGTTGACTGCAGCCTATTACATGCGATGTGAATCGCAATTTATTGGCCCGGTAAGGCAGACACAAGAGTATTTTCCGTCAGAGTCTGTGGGGTAATTGGTGGAAACTTACCCCAAACACGTCAAATACACTTGCAGTCTGCAGAGAATGTGTGCAAACAGCTGGGCCTGGCTCAAGGATTGTATGTCTACTTGATACAATGAAATCAAGTTTCTATGCAGGATGTTGAATTATTTGTCGGTGAAAGGGTTCATTTCCAGCCTCTTGTTCCCCTCAAAACGTCCAAGTCTGTAAGTCTATGAAGGCAGTAGGAGGTGAGATGATCCTGGAATTTATGAGCCATTTTACAATGTCCTAAACAGGACCAGCCAGCCCCAAACTCAAAATGCTCTAAACTAAACACCATGCAACAATGGTTGTGGATTTAAACAGTTTGTTACCATTTCAGTCATTCCCATAAACATCTTGTCATCCTGCTGTTTGAGACACAGAGGTTTTGAAAAGTATCCACACTTGTTTTGTCCCAAAGATTAATTCAATACATCTGTGTTTATTTAGAGATCCTTTTGAATGGCCAGGGAACGGATTTATGTAGCCCGAGGATTACAACCTCCCTGACATAAGCAACAAGGAATGGGAGACGTATTTTGGCACAAACTCTCGAGGGTGGTGTAATGTTAGGGGAGGAATAGGGCGCACACTACATACATCTGAAAAGATGTTCTTGCTTTCATGGACAGACTGTAAAACATGAGCTTTTTTTTCTCTTAATAAGGAGGGGGAAGTTAGATCATTTGAGAGGAGTTCAGATACTGGGGCTCTGTTGCAGCCATATGTTATTTTCAGATGCTAATGACTTTCAAACCATCTGGAAAACAGAGAGAGAAGTTAAGGTTAATATGTTCATTCAGATGAAGAAAATCCCTGTTTGTGGCTCATGGTGAGATGTAGAGCAAGACAATTAGTCACAATGGCAGTTACTCATTACATTTCAAATGAAATAAAGTTTTCTAAATAATTACACTGCTCAACCAATCAGGATATCAACTGCAACACATCAACCATACTAAACAAGGAAAACAGGCTCCACCATGACATCAGGCACAATGTAATGGTCTTAACAAACACATCACAAAAAAGCTGTTCACGTAGCCTAGACTGATCTCATACAAAGGCCAAATGTGAATTTGTAATTGCTTTGGCAATATGCCATTGAAAATGCATTAATCGTCTTGTAAAGTCAGTTTTATTTATTTTCACAACTCAAATATTTTCCATAGAGGGCTTTACAGGCTGTAAAACACATACTACTATTTGAAGACCCCTTGAGTTAAAGAAAAAACATAATTTTTTTAATTTAGAAACTAAGACAAGCAAAATATGTTGAATGCAAGAATCAGCTATCATAAAGGAACTTTCCTAACTGGTGAAAGAGCGTCAATAGGCTCGAGAAGTGTCTTTTATGAACTTGATCCATATTTTTTCCAGTTAAGAAATTGGAATCAAAATGCCTCGAGGCCTTGTTGTCATATTAATCCCTCCCTATACATTTGCTGTGTCTTTGAGCAAACACAATGTTTCTTGAGCTACAACGTAGCCCTTTAGCCAGAGTCATGGTCTAATTGGAAATCCAGTTTTCTACAGTACATAGCTGAAGTGAGATAAACTATTTACGTTTCTAAGTAACCCTATCAAACTGGTAAGTGAACATGGCTTCGTGTTGAGGAATCACCAGTCATAAAGTTTGGCCTAAATAATACATTATGGTCTAAACACTGATGGACAGCACAGAAGTGATCTTTCAGTGACATCTAGTGGCCAACACCGAGAATTGCTTCTTTATTGATTAATACAGCTGTGTCCTTCCATCATGAAATTGATATTTTTTGTGACCTTTTATATGATTATTAGTGAAAACATTGACTAAAATCTAAATAATGATGTGCACATGCAGCCAATAATGCAGTTACATTTGATAACATTCGTGGACATAATGTTCTCACAAAATTCCATCACAGTGCATGATGGGTTTAGTAGTTAGATCCATGTTCAGGGTTTAGGAGCTCTGCCCATGCCCCGGGTCATGTCAGTGAGGGGCGGGGACCACCGAGAGGCTCCTCCCTCCTCCAGGCTGCCGTCACCGGGCTGCTGGACCGGAGCGACTCGGCAGCAACAACCCGCCGCTGGCTGCTCACCGACTTGAGTGCAGACCCGGTGCAGCCTTCCGCCGTCTCTCACCGTCATTTCTCTCGGTTAACATCATGGCCTCCGACGGCATGGACGAGCGATCTCCGCTGCTGTCGGGTCCCAACTCCGAGAACGCGACCCCCATTGCTCCCCCGTACCTGCAGGATTCAAGTCCCCGAGGTAAACACACGACATGTACACAGCGTGAATGTTGAATCATATTTGGGCGTATCGAGTTTGCGTAAATAAAAACTGCAGCAGTGCAATGCAAGGCAAGGGCACTCCATCGACAGCTGAGAAAAAGGTGGAGCTAGCACTGTGAGAACTGGAGCAGTGGGTTAGGGAAGAGGGGCCTACAATAACAGCAAGCTATGTTTTTACTGCAGAAATACTCACATCACGATTCACTGGGGCCTGTAACGTTTTGGGTCTTAACCGAAAAAATCTGAGTCATGATGTGGGTCTGTGAGTTCTGAGTGGATGTAGGCTTTATGTTGTTGATGGATGGGGGTAGGAATGACCCACTGCAGAATGCAGCCTAGCAGCCTTTTGTCCCAGCTGCAAATCAACAAAAAGCCCAGATGTGTCACAACACCCACTGCACGGCATGATTTAAATGTCATTTTGTTAAATCTAGCTGTCAGTTTGCTCATTTGCATGGAGACTAGATTGCATAAGATAATATTTGCCTTGATCTGAGAAAGACTATTTGATTCTAAAATTGCATCTTGACTACAGTACAAACCATGTGCATGTTCAACCAGGACACCGACAAAGTGTCCACTTTTTGCTTAGTTAACAGCTGAATGTAGGTTACAGCACCATAATGCATGCAGGGCTGAAAGAGAGTAACAGCTCATCAATCTTCAGTCCATAGTCTAGAAAGCCTTGGTCAGGACTGGGCTGGGCTCTCAACTGATTTTTAGTCTAATTCTGAATTGAAGGGTTAGGGTTGAAACATAAGACACACATGATGACATGCTATTTATTTTTGCTGAAGAATTTTCTTGATAAAAGTTCCCTTATTCTTATAAATACATCCATATTCGACTCATATCAAAGGATTATGTTTTCTTTTTATGTAAATTCACCTCCAGACACTGTGAACAAACATCATTTATTTGCTTTGGCACAACACATGGTTTTTCTTGCTGCAAATGAATGGATTCATTGAACGTGTAATACTCTTTGCTGGACATTTCAAGACTATCCGCTTATATCAAGCAAACACAATGATGTTGACAAATGAACATCCTAATCTTGCAGATTCATATTTCACCACCGGATTATTCATAAAGACTTTAATGCTGGACTGTAACCGGTGAACTCAGCGCCTGTTTGAATGTTACAGCACTGACTGAGCGAAAGGCTAAATGAATGTCAGTATATTTCATGGCCTAGTTTCTGCTCATTTCCTCTTTACAGTCTGGATTATGGCTAATTCTGCTTTCACTGGGTCTGCTGGAGTACATTCCTCTATTAGACTATTTGTAAACTGGATTAATTAGAGTCAAAGAAGCCAAAGCTGAGCTTGTCAATGAAACAATGACTCAGATGTTACTTTGACTAATAAGCTTATAAGATGCGATGAAACACAGTGCATTTAAGATGTGATGAGGAGTTAGTAAAATGTGATATTTATGAAAGTGACTGCAATCTCTGCTGTATTGATTTCCTGAATTTCTTCACATTCTTCCACTGAAGAAGTATAAGGCCTTTACCTGATGAACAGTTGTCCACCATCAGTGGTTAGTAGCTGTATCAGAGATCCACAGTTTGCTTTGCTCACAGTGTGGTGGTGGTGCAGGTGAGAGGCGGCTGGAGACCAATGACCTTGGCTGCGTCACATTGTTTTTTTTTCAGTCAGGGTTTTGCTATATATTATAATGCATGAAAAAAACAGTATAAAGGTTAACATAATACAAATTTGTCTTATTATGAATACAATTAAGTTTTATGGCGTCATCTACATCATGATAACACATATACATATATATATATTGTATACTGTATATATTATATGTATTATTCCGCAACTAGTCCCAAACAAATACACATTTATTCCTGTTTGAGAACCATTTGCTAGAAACTACAGGGCTGTTAAAGGAATCTCAGTGATATACGTATTTAGTAGGAACTGATGGGCTGAGTGAGACATAAAGTACTGTGAAGGACACATTCCTTATTTGTTTTAAACTTTATGGGATTTGTATAAAACAATATAGAGCCTTATCCGTTGACCTTAAAGAGATTTTTTTCATGCCACAAAAGCAAGATATCGTATCTGATTTTTTGCTGACTTTTTTTTCTTCCTTTGGTGATAAGATCCATACTTAATGTACAATCTTCCTGAAATAAAATGAGCACTGCAATCTTATTAGTGGAACTTTTGTGTATTAATGTGCACACACATTGTCCAAGGGCTTTGAAAAATGTCCCAGTACGAAGTGTAATAAGAATATGCAACATACAGAGATATAGAAACAGAAAACACATCAGCTTGAGTCTGCGCACTGGCTTCTTAGGGAGTGATTCTCCACTTTGAACAACACGTGTGTCAGTGATGGCACCAGCTGGCAGGATGTGTTGGCGGCTGTATGTTGTTGTGCTGCTGGTTGTAGTGAAGCGCCTTCTTATCTTACTTCTGGCTCTGAGAACAGCCGGTGAAACCTATAGCTGCTAGATTCAGTTTCAGACATGCATTAGGACGCCTTCACAGTAAGGGGAGAGAAGCGAGATGAGACAGGCCTCTTCTCAGAGTGAGGCAGAGAGAAGTGCTGAATGTGCTCAAAACCAGGTTTAGGATTTTATTTTATAATGTTATGGAATTATTTATGTTAAGAGAGTACAGTCTGCATTGCACTTCCGGTGCACTGTTGTTATATTTAGGATTAACTCTGCTTGGGAGAAAAGGGATCACTATGTGCTGCCGGTGGACAGTGTTTGGCAGGCTTTGGTTGTATTTCTAGTGACGTTTACCCGATTGTAGACGGGATGTCCCATCTGTCCCTGTGGTGTCCACTGTTCAGTGTCTCTGAATCTCACAGCCAACCTCATTTACCTGTTGACTTGTCCCATTATCTCATTCAGTGAAGGTCATTGGTTATATTAGAGGCCTCCTTTGTGTTGTGTTGCCTCCTGTGGTCGGTAGACTTGGCTATGTCTATATCGATAATTATTTCCATTATTGATTAAACTGTTGATAATTTTTTTAATCAATTCAATAATTGTGTTGCGTATAAAATGGCAGACATGACAGAAACACTAAACCAAGATTGGCAAATTGGAATTTTCTGAAAAAACAGTTAAATACAAGTGTTTAGCAATTAATTTTCATAAAAGACAAGAAAAACAAAAGCTTTTTGCATCCGAGGCTCTAATCTGGTGATTTTTCTGACATTTTTGTTTGAAAGAGACTTGATAAGTGAAAGATAATCAGAATCCCATCACCTCCAGAGCTGTGCAGTAAATCTGGACTTTAGGTACACATTCAACAAATGTAAGTAGATTGAATAACTGCAGACACACATTTTTAAGTATCACGCAGATTGTAAAGTAAGCTTGAATACTACTGTAGTAGTAAAGGTACTGACTGGTGCAAAACTATGCATTTAGTGTATTAAAACCCAGAAAAACACGTGGAATGCAGACTAACAACAAAAGGTTAATGTGGGATTAAACAGTGCTACTGTAGTTGTTTGTTAGTTCACAGTAGTTCTTTCAGACTGTAGGAGAACATTTTTAAGTCTGGACATTTAATCATGTTGATTACACGTATGGACCATAAACACCTAACATAGCACTGGCTTTTCTTTCTAAGCCAAACCAGTAAGGAGCTTGTTAGCCTCATTAGCAGAGACATTTAATTTAACTGATAAAACACCATTTACTAGCCTATAAGGCCCAATGTCAATGAAATATGGCTGATGGTACATTTTAACATTTTTCTTTACATGTTACATTTTAGGACATGAAGTATTAATTCCCATCCATATAAATTGCACTATGTATTGATTTAAAAATCACTAAAATGGTCGTGTACAGCAGCTTCAATGATTCTCAAAAGGCCACAGCCTCACAATAAGAAGACCAGCTTTAATGTTATAGTAACGTTGTCTGCAGCTTGGTAGAGAGTGAGTTTTACATCCTACAACTTCTTTATCTAAAAGAGCCCATTGTTACTTTCTTAAACATACTGGGTGATGCTCGGCCCTTGACAAAGAGAAGAGTCACATGTTGAGCAATCATCGTCGAACAAGCCTGTCGTGGGTTTACATACAGCATGTTCCCTGCTACCTACCATACACTTAGTTTAATAGTTACTAATAGTTGAATAGTAGATATTGAGGCAAATCATTTTAAACAATTATTTTTAACTTATAGACAACAGCCTATAAGTTATTTTGGGAGGCAAAATATGTTTGTATTTGCAATTTATAATGTAATATAAATGATTAGCTTATTATGAAATTAGCTAAAGATAATATCCAAATCTGTTATTCTGAACAGTAAAAAAACAAATCACATATTTTAGAAGCTGGGGCCTTTATGGGTATTTCAACTATCAATTTAGATGTTCAAACATAGTTCATTTTCTTTTGATCTTCTAATTGATTAATGGTCCAGCTCTAAGCGTCTTTTGGTTCAAGGAAAGCGCTATAGAAATACAATGTATTATTATTATTATTATTATATAAAATGTTTTTACACACATGCAAAGATTTTGGACTTTTGGAGAGTCTTGTGTTGTCTTGTATGAGATCAGAGGGTCTCTCACTAAGATTATAACTTTATTTTTTGGTTTGTTAGACAAACTGTCATTAGAAATAAGATTGAGTTGTGTGTTATCAACATACTCCATGGGCCGTTTATTTCCAATTATTACTCATTCTACACATTGTAAAGTCTAATGTCATGTCTCATGTAATGTCTGAAATCCTAATGATCCTGGTCCACAATATACAGTATCACATGTGTTGAGTTTGAAGGTTTATTCTAGTGGCAGTTACCAAAATCTGAAGAGCGAATTTCTAGATCTTCGCACAGCTTTCATTTGCATCTTGTGTCCTTTATCAACCTATGCCATATTTTGAATGTAGTCATTGTGTACATCTAACCTCCAGCGATAATGTCTGTTTGTTGATTGAAGTTGTATCGATGCATGCGATTAACAGCTGGCCGTGTGTTGTGTGCTTTGCCCTTCTCCTCCTCTTCTCAAAGCCGAACTACCTCCTCCCTACACAGCCATCGCCAGCCCGGACGCCGGCGGTGTTCCCGTCATCAACTGCCGCATCTGCCAGTCCCTCATCAACCTGGATGGGAAGCTGCATCAGCACGTGGTCAAGTGCACGGTCTGCAATGAAGCTACAGTAAGTGGAGGCCATTGAGCGCGGTGACAGCTTTAATGATTGTTGGTGTTGAGTCGTTACAGTTCATCTGTCAGGTCGAATAAAGACATTAAGTCTTCAGTTTTATTTGAGCTGTTTATCGCTGCTCTCCTCTCCTCCCCATTACAATCCATTTACTGTTTATCTCTTCTGAAATGAAATCACTCAAAGCATCGTTTTGCGTGGTTGACAATTACATATATTTAAAAATAAACAATTTGCCTAGGATGCCCTTGTCTGATCTTGACAATGTCCTGCTTACTGATGTTGATGTAGACATCTTCACATCGATCAGTCAGTGCAGTGATAGGTGCAACATTTGACTTGAATGAGTCTGGCTGAGAGCTTTAATGGAGCTGTCAGTGGCAGAGAGGAGGATGAACTGCTGTCATCACTACCACATTTCCACTGGCTGATATTTGCGGTGCTTATACATGTACATCAACCCACCCGTATGGTATTCTATTTCCCTGGAATAAAACGGTACACAATAAATACTGATTGGCTTCATTCAATTCAGCTCAGGTTCACCACACACTGCAGAAATAAATCTAAAGCTGAAGATGCATTTATTTTGTAAGCGTTTTTTTATAACCCTCATTTAAATCCGGCTAAATGTGTGCATGCAGTATGCTAATTCGTTTAGGTATGTTTTTTCCTTTTTTCACATGAAAATCCCTGGTTCTGATACATGAGTAAACTTTATTATAGTAACACAAGTAACACTTTGTGCCATTGGACAGCACAATGTAGAGTATGCGAACACAAACACCATAGAATATTGAATACAGAGGTTTTAGAAAAAACACTGATATACAGCATGTCTTACGGGATCATATTGACATTTGAAGACAACGGGCAAACCTATAGAATTGATAGGTTAAAAGCAAAGCTATTGATTTTGCAGAAATGTACAACTTTGAGGGTCTCTTTTGTTTTCACATCAGTGTTTTTAAACTGTTTTATTGCTTTGTTTTTGTGTTTTATACTAAACTGATTTTGATACTTTTCCTTCCAGCCCATCAAGAACCCCCCAACAGGGAAGAAATATGTGAGGTGTCCCTGTAACTGCCTGCTCATCTGTAAAGACACGTCCAGGAGGATAGGATGTCCTCGACCAAACTGGTAGGCAGCATTCAGTCAACTTCAGTCAAAGCTAAATATGATGTTCGGACACAGTGTTGGCCCCGGGTACGTTTTAAGTTTAATAAAGGCAAATCAAGACACGGTAATCCAAAGAGCTTTACAACAGACATTAAGAGCATTTAGACAAAAATGGCATTAAAAATCCCTTTTGGATTGGTTGTAATCACAAGCTTGTCTTTCCCCCTGTTCCTCCGACAGCAGACGCATCATCAACCTGAGCCCGATGGTCATCCCGGAGGAGCAGCCCGCCCAGCCGGCGCTGCCCGTCCAGCCCGAGGGGATGAGGGTGATCTGCGGTCACTGTGGCCACACCTTTCTTGTACGTACCCACCAACACAATCTAATCAATCACAGTTTTGTTCTGGTGGAATAGTGTTACTTCATTGTTGTTTAATCTTCAAAGCCAAACCACAGTGTATTCAGTATTTGGGGATGGGAATAGGGGATTCTCTTAACGTGTGTTGTGGCGTCTGTAGGGCAGTGAGGATGCCGCCACCTCCCAGCCAATGTCTAGCCTCCCCAGCGACGGCTCTCCTCCAGTACAACAACAGGTTGAGAAAGCTGGTCATACTGGAGGACATATTAACAACAGCCTAACCTGCTCCAGTTCAATCAGCAGCCGTTTTACACCGATGTAATAAGACTTATGAACATCTGGCTTTAAAGAAATGGAACAGTTGAATTTGAGTTTACGGTCACAGAATTGGATTAAATCAACATAATTTAGCCTGAATTTCTATTGAATTGTTTATTCCTCCTCTGAAGCCAGATGTCAAAAGTCACATACTAGGATCTTAAATTATGCTGATCTGTGATGGGATGAACATATCCCTAATACTACTTCTTTACATCAAAACTCTAATAGTTGAGACAACTAATATAATATTATAATAATTATAGATGATAATTTATTCAACCTGCCGATATTTTCTCTTAAAAAGATTTATAAAGTTGCAAACCATCCTAACTGATCATGTAACATCATTCCCAGTAGGTCTTGTGTTGATTCTTCTAAAAGTAGAGTCGGATTATAGTGTCTTTGCATTTCTGTGTTCTTCTGTGCCTGTTTGGATGCTCCTGTAATGCTTTTTCTTCTGTTTCCTCACAGTGGATGGAGCTTCGGTTTAACACGCTAGCCAAGTGTCCCCACTGCAAAAAAATGTGAGTCGATCAAACCTATTTCACTCAAAGTATGAAATTATAATCACAGAAATTGTTTTACTTTTTGAACGATTATTTCCTGTTGGAAATAGGTGGTTTTGGTTTCATTTATTGATATCATGAGTCATTTACTGTAGCAGATTTGAAAAATGTTAGTTTATTGTCAGTTAAAGACTGACTTAAATAGTTTGTGTCATAGTTAGAATGTACCTTTTTAACAAATGTAAAAGCAGACTTGGATGATCACTGTGGAGTTGAAAGAAGTGTCAAGAATATGCATTTTAGTTATGATATTTTACACAAATGAATGGAAGCCAATGGCTTGAAAATCAAATCGGATATTCTCTCAAACAGTAAACATGGTTTTTAAAATGGTTAAATTCTGATGTTGGTTTAAATTCTTTGAAGAAAATGGGATCCAAATGCAACATTACACGTATGCGCAAAATGCATCTGTTGTGTATGTTTGTGTTTTAGTATGATACAACTTGGATTTAAATGCATTTAACTTTCAACCCTAATTGCTGGAGAAGTATCCAGGCTCTCACTTTATGGAAGCCAAGCTTTATAGGTCTTGAATTGTAGTTGTTGGAAGGAGAGGGGAGGTGATGGAGGCTAATCCAGACGTGTGACAAGATTTAGAGTCTGGCCCTTAGTAGATGTAATGGTGATGGGGGGGAGGGTCACAGAGTAACAAGGCGGTGGGAGACGGGAGTCAACAGGTGTGTCTGAAAGTGAGGATCTGGACTGGCTGAGAAAACAAATAAGCTGCAGTATTTCCTCTATCTCTGTGTCTTAGTTCTCCATCTCTTTTTCTGTTCCTCTTTTACGCTCTTTTGCCATCTTTCCTAGAGTTTTATTTTAGATTTTGACAATATCTCTCCGGTCTTTTTCTCTGTTCATACATTCCTATCTTTATCTCCGTATTATGAGTTACTTGTGTTATGCATGTGCAAATTCAAAAGTCATTAAATATATTGCTGCTGTGAGGAAGCAGCAATTGTCAGAGAGACTTCAACATAAACCAGAAGTGTCTGTGTCCTCTCCCAGTGGCCCCTTACCGGAAACACCAATCAGTCCAGCAGTTAAAAGTCATGAGAATTGATGAGGTGTATTTTATTAAATCAACTTTGATGAGTGATTAAACAGTCAATAGACGTTGTATTCCGCCTATAATCATTTTAATTATTTATTTTAGAGACCTTAACAGTATGTCTTTCTTCAGCAATCATTTTTGGGTTTCCATTTCTATTGTTCACCTCAGTGTCTGTTTCCATTTTCTTTGCTCTCTATCTATCTCTTTCTCCTGTATTTTCTCTTACTCTCTCCCTTCAATCTCCTTTACTGCATTGTAACAGAAGAAGTCATGAGTCATGTGAAGATGTAGCATTAATGCTTATAAGGAGTGATGAACTTTTGATAAAATTAGATCGTCTGATTAAGTGTTCAATTTCATAGCTTATATTTTAAAACCTTCTTTGAAAAATGGTTTGCTCCACAGCTCAAATAAATGAGATGGTCAGGCGGCACAGTTGTAAACAGTGAGTCGATCAAAGAGTAAAAAGACTGTTTTCACGTTTTAAGAAGGAGTAGTAGAAATCAGGTGATCAGGCTCCCCCTTAAGCCATCTGAACACCTTCCTGAAGAATGCTTGAGTCCCCTCACATGAGAGGCATGTGAGAGCAGAGAGGGGGAAGAAAGTAAAGAAACGTTGAAGCAAAATGAAAAAAAGAACTGATGCCAGCCTGGTGCTTGATTTGTTCATGTGGTTTTATGGAGTCAGGATGTTGAGAGCTGACATGTGACCGGACTCCAGCGCTCTCATGTGTAAGCTGCAACGAGAAAGACAGATTTTTTTCACTGCGAAATTTGATAGAATAATGCTAAGAACTTAAACTGTACCTGAAATGTTACCAATGTTCTGTAAAGCCATCCCCATGTTGTTTCTCAGAGGAACATACACAACATAAAACTGTATAAAATATATTCAGAATTTCTTTCTGCCCTCTGACGACACACTGACCATTTTTCTCCCCCTCAATGTCTCCCTGCAGATCCTCTGTTGGCAGTGCACTCCCTAGGAGGCGTTGTTGTGCTTATATAACTGTAGGAATGATCTGCATTTTCATCGGAGTGGGTTTAACGGTAAGTGCTGCCTTTGTCTAGTTCGTGCTGTTTGAATAGCACAAGTTAAGATTCATAAACAGCATGTGGTGTTTTGCGATGAAGGCATTCAGCAGGAAATATCAAACAGGCAGGATAGTTACAAACAAAGGAGCAACACAACAAGTCTAATTTCTTTACAGTTTCCATATCATGTGTCCAATTCAATCACCAAATTAATTTACTACTGTGGACACATATTAATTGGATTTTAGGATTAAATTCTATTTTATTTGAACATCTTGGATTTCTACAATAGCTTCCATATCATGTGAACTAATGATTCCATATCATGTGAACTAATGATTCCATATCATGTGACCTAATGATTCCATATCATGTGACCTAATGATTCCATATCATGTGACCTAATGATTCCATATCATGTGACCTAATGATTCCATAACGAATGCGTAATTGTATAACAGCATTGGACAAGTGTGGGACACACCTCTCTTTATTGGATTTTTTGTCTATCTTCTTTTTCAAATGAATATTTGATAATAGGAACTGTTTTTAGAACTGTTTTTATTCAATAGCTTCCATATCATCTGACATAATTACTTTACATCAATGCGAAATTGTATAACTAGACTTAACAAATACGACACACCTCTTTATAACTGAACGTGCTATTTTATATGAATATTTATATGAAGATTCAGCAGTTTACAATTGAAGATTCAATTGTCAATAGCTTCCTATCATGTGACCCATTGACTCCAAATCAAAGCAGCATTGTATTACGCACACTGGACGAGTAAAACACACCTCTTTTTGATATTATACATTATCCTGCTTTAACCAGTGGCACTTCTCTTTGAATTAGTTGTTTTGTAGGATGTGCAATTTAATCAAATATAAGAGACTGAGGTTTGACTGTAACAATCCCTCTTTCTTCTCCTCCTCTTCACTAACAGGTTGGTACTCGGGACTTTGCGAGCCGCTACAACGCCACCTACGTGTCCTGGGCCTTCGCCTACCTGCTGGGTCTCATCTGTCTGATACGAGCCTGCTACTGGGGCGCCATCAAAGTCAGCTACCCCGAGAACAGCTTCGCCTAGAGCGGCACGGCTGGAAGAACAAACCCCACTTTTATTTTTGTTCATGTTGTTCAGATTTCTAACCGGTCATGTTCAGCGGGGGATGATGTCTGCAGAGCGTCTGGACAGAAGTGTGTAGATGGTACTGTGTGTTTGAAGATGTGTATGGTGTTGGAGATGTGTTTCCGTCTGTTGGGGTCTGGGATGTTTGAGAGTTTGGACTCGATGAACGGACAAAACGTATGTTCTCCTACTCGTCCACAAAGACTCAAATCCTGCCCAGGTTTTTTGCGAAAATCCACAATCGTGAACAAAAAAGAAACTGTGTTTTTTCCTGATGAATGCCAAACATTTTATTTGAAAATGATTGTTTAGCAAACTGGTTGGATTTGGTCTTTCTGGACCGTTTTCTTGTTCCGTTTTCTTTTTCAGCCCTGGTTTTATTTTGTTACTGACCAGACCAAAATAAGCCAACCTCCTAAGAACAGTTTGCCCATTGCACTACGATTATATGCAATTGTACGTGTTGTTTTGCTGCTAGTTCATAACTCCATCTACAGAAAGCTGCATACCCATACTGTCCTGTAACCATTTACCTAGCTTGTGTACACTGACATAGGATTGCTGTATGATTTTAACCCTGACAAAATGATCAATTTTAATATGAAATCCTTAAAAACCTATGTGCTGCCCAGTATTGGTCAAGAAGAGCAACAGATCAACAGGAGGTTGTTTTTTTATATCAAAGTGTTAATTTTCCATCCATGCAGCTTTTAACTGACTTGGCAATAACCCTTTTATTGGAGTTCGGTGTACTTCATTGCACTTTCGTTGCCTTCTCGATAATGAAAAAATGATCCCATAAATGGAGACTCATGTTTGCATGTTGACTTGTTTATGCTCCGTCATTGATTTGTTTTTCAGTTCCCGGAGAAGTAGCTGAAGCGTAGGATGTCTTTGCTCTGTCTGCCTGTGAGTTAGAATTTAAACCCTCCTCTTCCTCCTCTTCCTCCCTGCGCGTTATAATCGCCGCTCTCTGACCTCTGTGCTGGCTGGCATCACTTTAGGCTAACTCAGCATCCTGTCTCTCGACCTTGACCAGTGGGCACTGCTCAGATTTCTAACCTTGTTTTGAATGTGATGATGATGATGATATGATGATGATGATGATGAAGCAGAACAAAAATGTTTAAAACATGTCTTTGTATATAGTTCAAATTGAGTACTTGGTAAACTGTAGTGAAAGGTGAAAGGAGACGATGGCTCTTGGGTCTTTTTAAAAATGATAATTTATCAATAAAATGCAAAAACTGCCTGTATTGTTCTGTGTGATCATTGGCTCTGATTCTTTGGTCATTTAAAGTCCCTCCAAAGACCCACAAGGTTCAAACACATTGGATGAAGTCACTTTTACAAACTTGTCATTTATAAAAGTGTTTTCAATTACAATTCAGGTATATTTTTTGTACTTCTTTACTCTTACTTTACATTAGATTTGCCTGACCGTTAAAACAATTTTCTAGGTTAAAATGATCTCAATCAAATGGGATTCATTAATATAGTCTAAACCATCTTTCTATCTAAACACTTCCCTCTTGGGATTTTAAATGATCTGTAATCTGACTCCTGCTTCCTTGTACTCATTTGTTTGTTGCGATGAACAACGTTGATCAAAAAAACGAGAAACCAATTTTTAACTGTAAATAATTCATTTCTGTTTAAATATGTTATAAGGCAATAGAGTACACATAGTCTTAGAGATGATGACAGTGTCTCACATGATAAAAGTATTCCCATCCATTTCCTTTTTTATTTTATCGCAGGCCCTATAGGAGTAATAACCATCAGTTACACAGACTGAGACCGTAAACAGGTGCTTCGTTTTCTGATAATAACTTCAGTAACCAGTCAACTGGTTGAGCATCCGTAGCTCTCACACACAGGGGGTTTCACCTATGTTGCCTAATGAGAGTTCTTCTTTGGACTATCTGGGCAATTACTGACTGTATCTGATCGAGTGGCACAACTCACCCTTTCATTAATCTATAGTGTGTGTAATCAGGAGCTGTACTTCAATCTGTCCTCATCTCTCATCAACCTGATAATCGATAACACCTGTGTGGTTAAAGCATCTAGCTGGTGTCTAAGATATTTTCAGATTTTATGTAATTACCGGGTTTATAATAAAATGAAGTATTGACAAACATGGTTTTCAAAACATTTAGTCAAACTTAATATCTGTCATAATTCCTGCTCAATTAAAGAGCCACCACCATTCACAGCAGCATTACAGCTGCAGTACTGCTGTCTGTCCACATGGTGGTGACATTAGCAAACATTAGATAAAGCAGTGAGGCTTTAACCGTGTGTGCCATGGTCTTTATCCATACTGAAGATATCAGGAGGCACAAAGGAGCAGACCAACAAGGACATATTGTCAACCTGTTGATACATTGAAATACATTTTTCCAGACACTTTGACTTCAGGTTCCTTCCTGGGGAATTCTTTAACGGCTAACATTCATGAAAGGCTCTTCTATAATTCCTCCTCCTTTTTTACAGTTTTTTTTGTATTTCTATCCTTCGCTATTGATTTATACTGTGTCTTAATGTTTAGAACAGTGTAATTATTCACTGTTTTTAAGTCTATTTGTATAACATATAATTATATATTTTACTGTTTGGATTAGTAATTAAATATCCCTGGCTTTAAATTTCGCTTTTGATTAACATAAAATCCAAACAGTTGCAATGTTTTTTTTTCTAGATATCATGTTAGCAGACAAACAAACGTGATACACAACAAAATATCTTCTTTATTTATGACCAAGGGATTTTTATCTCGTTTGACACATTGATTACAGACACAACAGAAACATGTTCTAATGAGCTCCCTGGAGCTGCTACACATGATTTAATTATAATTCTCTCTCTCTCTCTCTCTCTCTCTCTCTCTCTCTCTCTCTCTCTCTCTCTCTCTCTCTCTCTCTCTCTCTCTCTCTCTCTCTCTCTCTCTCCTCTCTCTCTCTCTCCTCTCTCTCTCTCTCTCTCTCTCTCTCTCTCTCCTCTCTCTCTCTCTCTCTCTCACACTCTCACACACACTCACACACACACTCACACACACTCACACACACACACACACACACACACACACACACACACACACACACACACACACACACACACACACGGCTTCAGGTCCAATGATCTACCCTGGGCTGCAGATTATGTCACGTCAAACACATCAGCTGACGTGTCGTTTCTTTCAGGATGTCAAAGCGTCGTCTAGGTGTGTAAACAAACACACACATGGACTATTTCAGACTACCATCTACAACTATGAAGGAACATAAAGGTCATAAATA